TAGAAATCAGTTTAACACAAAAGCACAGTATACACACCTCACCTGGCCAAGTGCAGGTTTGGCCCCAGGAAAGCGAGCAACCAACTCAGCAAGTTTAAGGCAAAAGAAATACACATTTGCAAAGAGCAGGTTGGCCCCAGAGTGAATAGCAGCCTGGTAAAGGCAAGTTTTATACAAAAAGAAATACACACCTCAGGTGAAGGGCGGGCTGGCTCTAGGAAAGCAAGCATCTGCCCCACCTTCTACTGGGATTCAACTTTTATAATTTTGCTATCTAATACATATTCATGCTATCTAATGAATATTTAACTATGGTGTTGTTCCCAGTTAGGTAACATAGTCTTGCACATGTCTGGTTGGTCTCTTTTAGAGCATGCTCATTGGTTAAATTCCAACATATTCACTAAAAAACACTTAGAAATATTCAGTGCTCTGCAGTGCCCCTAGTGGAAGGTCATTCAAAGGATAGACTGCCCTTTACTGAGCATGCTCAGCCATTGGAATGATATAAATCTGCTCCTTCTGGTCTCAATTTCCCCATGTTGGTGCTGAAAATAGAGACAATTAGCAACAGTAACTCTTCCTTAGGGGAGGGCTAGAGGAGGGGCCTGAGACCTTGGGGAATGGCTTGAATCTCAGAGGAATGTCCTGAAACCCAAATCCAGAGAAACTGAGCACTTCCTATCTCACCATTAAGCCCTTTGCATGAATCTTTAAACCTCATAGTAAATACACATTATTGTGCTCATTTTAAATATGGGAAATAAGGCTCAGAAGAATTACAAAACTGGTCCAAAGTTGTGTAGCTGGTTGGTGGCAGACTTAGGATTCACATCCAGATGTTTTAAACTTGAAAACCTATGCTTTTTCCACTTCCACTCTTTCCATTTTGCAGTGCCATCTTTCTTAGGAGGCCCTAAGAAAGGAGGCCCTAAATGTTCACTGAGTGAGAAAAATATATCTCTTTTGGGGGGGTATCTTTCCTCTTCCTTTCTGAAAAGATTGTATTTCAATATCACTCTAATAAATCAATATGCTGGTATCACTGTACCACTATAATCCATCAAAAGAAGGTATATGTTAATTATTTCTCTTCAGTCCTATTATAGGCATAGTAGTTTTAAAACCCAGATCAAATAAAATCCTACCAAAAATATTAGGAAATTATGTGAAAAAAGAAAGATCAATTGGAAAAAAAAGTTCATCTTTCCTTCTTTTTTCTCATTTTTTTCTCTTGGAGTGTAAGGAAATGAAAAGGAAAATCACGAGCTTGCTGAGGGGAAAGGAAGACTAGCATCAGTGTCACATCAGCCACAAATAAGTGTCTGTCCTCACAGTGTGTGGGTGACTCCCACTATTCCCAACTTGGTAATTTCAGTAAACAAAACACCAAAAAAGGACGACCGTTGCTCAGTTCAATTCAACAAATGTTTGCTTATAGCCCCGTGAAGCAAGACTTGCCCAGAGCTAACCAGTTAGCCAAGTTAACCAGTTAACCAGAGTTGAAGTGTCTTGACATTGGCCATGAATGACATGGGAACCCATGAGCCAGCTCTTCCCAAGCACCAGTATGAGGAAGTCATCTCAATCCTAGAGAGAGAGAAACCCCACTTTTTTGCAGTTTGGTTCTACTGGTTTAATTGTGGAACTAGCCTTTTTTTCCCCTAAGCAGTTAATTCCAATCTCTCTGTGAAAAATGGCCTTGTATCAGTTTTCTGATGTAGTAAATGTTACTGCATTTGAAATTTAGATTTACTAAATATGTTGTTTGGATGGTGTATTTAGGTTTTAAAATATTGACCCACAATTAAATAATGTTTAAAATTAAAATGTCTAGGGCCGGCCCGGTGGCGCACTGCTATAGTGCGCTGCTTGGGAAGCGCGGCGGCGCTCCCGCCGAGGGTTCGGATCCCACATACAGACCGGTTCCCGCTCACTGGCTGAGC